AAATGGTTTTTAATACTTGACGTGCTGTTGGAGTGTGAGCAAAGTAACATTTATGAAGGGATTCAGGGAAACCAGCAGGCCGGACTCGAGTCCTGGAGATGGGAAGTACAGTGCCTGCACTCTGAAGGAGGGGTGTTAATGTTGCAGTTTAAAAACTGTAGTGTAAAGCACCCTTCTGGCAAGACAGTGATAGAGTGAATGATGGTAAAAGTTCTTCTTTTTCGGGCCACCCTGCCTTGGTGGGAATCGGCCAGTGTTAAAAAAATAAAAATAATGTACATTAAAGCTGATTTCCTCTATTCTGTTATTTCAATATACAGTACACAGTAGAAACATTTAAAAATATATCAGAAATATTATAAATGGTGCAAAGGTTACATTAAAACAATATCAAAGATGGATGACAAACCCACTACCATTATGGTATGCTTCTCACTTAGCGATGAATTAGTCTAACAACGTGGTCCTAGGAACGGAACTCAGTCATTAAGTGAGGAAAGGCTGTATAATAATAATATATCTTTATTCTAAAAGTACATGTACAAGGTATACAGGCCTAGCTGACATCAATTTTTTTTTTTTCAACAAGTCGGTCGTTTCCCACCGAGGCAGGGTGACCCAAAAAAGAAAGAAAATCCCCAAAAAGAAAATACTTTCATCATCATTCAACACTTTCACCACACTCACACATTATCACTGCTTTTGCAGAGGTGCTCAGAATACAACAGCTTAGAAGCATATACGTATAAAGATACACAACATATCCCTCCAAACTGCCAATATCCCAAACCCCTCCTTTAAAGTGCAGGCATTGTACTTCCCATTTCCAGGACTCAAGTCCGACTATATGAAAATAACCGGTTTCCCTGAATCCCTTCACTAAATATTACCCTGCTCACACTCCAACAGATCGTCAGGTCCCAAGTATCATTCGTCTCCATTCACTCCTATCTAACACGCTCATGCACGCTTGCTGGAAGTCCAAGCCCCTCGCCCACAAAACCTCCTTTACCCCCTCTTTCCAACCCTTTCAAGACGACCCCTCCCCTCTTTCCTTCCCCTATAGATTTATATGCTTTCCATGTCATTCTACTTTGATCCATTCTCTCTAAATGACCAAACCACCTCAACAACCCCTCTTCTGCCCTCTGACTAATGCTTTTATTAACTCCACACCTTCTCCTAATTTCCACACTCCAAATTTTCTGCATAATATTTACACCACACATTGCCCTTAGACAGGACATCTCCACTGCCTCCAACCGTCTCCTCGCTGCAGCATTTACCACCCAAGCTTCACATCCATATAAGAGTGTTGGTACTACTATACTTTCATACATTCCCTTCTTTGCCTCCATAGATAACGTTTTTTGACTCCACATATACCTCAACGCACCACTCACCTTTTTTCCCTCATCAATTCTATGATTAACCTCATCCTTCATAAACCCATCCGCCGACACTTCAACTCCCAAGTATCTGAAAACATTCACTTCTTCCATACTACTCCTCCCCAATTTGATATCCATTTTTTCTTTATCTAAATCATTTGATACCCTCATCACCTTACTCTTTTCTATGTTCACTTTCAACTTTCTACCTTTACGCACATTCTCAAACTCATCCACTAACCTTTGCAATTTTTCTTTAGAATCTCCCATAAGCACAGTATCATCAGCAAAAAGTAACTGTGTCAATTCCCATTTTGAATTTGATTCCCCATAATTTAATCCCACCCCTCTCCCAAACACCCTAGCATTTACTTCTTTTACAACCCCATCTATAAATATATTAAACAACCATGGTGACATTACACATCCCTGTCTAAGACCTACTTTACCGGGAAGTATTCTCCCTCTCTTCTACACACCCTAACCTGAGCCTCACTCTCCTCATAAAAGCTCTTTACAGCATTTAGTAACTTACCACCTAGTCCATATACTTGCAACATCTGCCACATTGCTCCTCTATCCACTCTATCATATGCCTTTTCTAAATCCATAAATGCAATAAAAACTTCCCTACCTTTATCTAAATACTGTTCACATACATGCTTCAATGTAAACACTTGATCTACACATCCCCTACCCACTCTGAAGCCTCCTTGCTCATCCGCAATTCTACATTCTGTCTTACCTCTAATTCTTTCAATTATAACCCTACCGTATACTTTTCCTGGTATACTCAGTAAACTTATTCCTCTATAATTTTTACAATCTCTTTTGTCCCCTTTCCCTTTATATAAAGGGACTATACATGCTCTCTGCCAATCCCTAGGTACCTTCCCCTTTTTCATACATTTATTAAACAAAAGTACCAACCACTCCAACACTATATCCCCCCCTGCTTTTAAGATTTCTGTCATGATCCCATCAGTCCCAGCTGCTTTACCCCCTTTCATTCTACGTAATGCCTCACGTACCTCCACCACACTCTGCTCTTCTTATAACACTTCTGCTTTGTAAAAACCTCTCGTAAGCTACCTTTTTCTCTTTTATCACACCCTTTACTTCATCATTCCACCAATCACTCCTCTTTCCTCCTGCCCCCACCCTCCTATGACCACAAACTTCTGCCCCACATTCTAATACTTCATTTTTAAAACTATTCCAACCCTCTTCAACCCCCCCACTACTCATCTTTGCACTAGCCCACCTTTCTGCTAATAGTCGCTTATATCTCGCCCGAACTTCCTCCTCCCTTAGTTTATACACTTTCACCTCCCTCTTACTTGTTGTTGCCACCTTCCTTTTTTCCCATCTACCTCTTACTCTAACTGTAGCTACAACTAAATAATGATCCGATATATCAGTTGCCCCTCTGTAAACATGTACATCCTGGAGCCTACCCATCAACCTTTTATCCACTAATACATAATCTAACAAACTACTTTCATTAAGTGCTACATCATACCTTGTATATTTATTTATCCTCTTTTTCATAAAATATGTATTACTTATTACCAAATTTCTTTCTACACATAGCTCAATTAAAGGCTCCCCATTTACATTTACCCCTGGCACCCCAAATTTACCTACTACTCCCTCCATAACATTCTTACCCGCTTTAGCATTGAAATCCCCAACCACCATTACTCTCACACTTGATTCAAAACTCCCCACGCATTCACTCAACATTTCCCAGAATCTCTCTCTCTCCTCTACACTTCTCTCTTCTCCAGGTGCATACACACTTACTATAGCCCACTTTTCACATCCAATCTTTATTTTACTCCACATAATCCTTGAATTTATACATTTGTAGTCCCTCTTTTCCTTCAACATTATTGCTACTCCTTCTTTAGCTCTAACTATTTGAAACCCCTGACCTAATCCCATTTATTCCTCTCCATTGAAACTCTCCCACCCCCTTCAGCTTTGTTTCACTTAAAGCCAGGACATCCAGTTACTTCTCATTCATAACATCCACAAACATCTCTTTCTTATCATTTGCACAACATCCACGCACATTCAGACTTCCCACTTTGACAATTTTCTTCTTATTCTTTTTAGTAATCTTTACAGGAAAAGGGGTTACTAGCCCATTGTTCCCGGCATTTTAGTTGACTTTTACAACACGCATGGCTTACGGAGGAAAGATTCTTATTCCACTTCCCCATGGATATAAAAGGAAAAGTAATAAGACCAAGAACTATTAAGATAAAATCAAAGAAAACTCAGATGAGTGTGTATAAATAAACGTGTACATGTATGTGTAGTGTGACCTAAGTGTAAGTAGAAGTAGCAAGACATGCCTGTAATCTTGCATATTTATGAGACAAAAGACACCAGCAATCCTACCATCATGTAAAACAATTACAGGCTTTCGTTTTACACTCACTTGGCAGGACGGTAGTACCTCCCTGGGTGGTTGCTGTCTACCAACCTACTACATCAATTACATACTACAATATAGAAAGCCCCTTGTTATGCAGAGCATTTCGGGCAAATTAGGTAAACAATGTCCCAGGATGAGACCCACACCAGGTACCCACTTTTACTGATGGGTGAACATGGACAACCGTTGTAGGGAAACACACCCAATGTTTCTACCCTCACAGGGAATCATACCTGGACCCTCAGCGTGTGAATCGAGAGCTTTTGTCACCAGGCCATGGGGCAAATTGCTAATGATTTCTTTAGGAAGATTCTGAAGATAAGTGGATAAGGTTGATTGAGTGTACTGCTATGATACAGGTTACTGGTGGTATTATAAGTGTGCTGCCTATATAGCAGTGCTAGTAAACGAGTACCACTCATGTGGTTTTGATTTTACTAAGTATGCACTATTGAGGCATCTGTGGAAAGAAAGTATATATATGAAGGCAAAAAGTGTAATGTACCAGAGTATAGTAGTACTAACACTTAAATGGGTGTTCATGGGCTTTGAATGTGGCACCAAAGAGGCTGGAGGCAATGGAGATGTCAGATTTGGGAGCAATGTGTGGACTGAATATTTGACATGAAAATTTGAAGCATTGAAATAAGACAACAGGAGGAAGTCACCAAGGGTATACTGAATTGTGAGGACTGAGGAGGAGTTGGAGGTGGTTTTGATATTTAGAGAGAATACAGGGACAAAGCGATGACGAGAAGGAAGGTAGGTGGGGTAGTCATTGTCCCAAGAACAGTTAAAAGGAAGGGAAGGGGGTGGTTGAGGTTGTTTTGAGCACTAGGGGCTTGAGCTTCTAGCAGGCTCATGTAAACATGTTAGGTTGAGAGAGTGGAGACAAGTGGTTTTTAACAACTGACGTACTGTTTCTGTGCAAGCAAGATAACACTTATGAATTTCAGGAAGACCAGTTTTCCAAACTAGCCTTGCACACTGAAGGAGGGATGTGGATGTTACACTTGGAGGATATTCTGGCAAAACAGATTGAATGAATGATGGTGAATGGGTTCCCTTTTTCCGAGTCACCCTGAAATAACTAGTATTCCAATACAAATATATCTGTTAACCAAGGTACAGAACTTTTATATCTAACAATTTTTAAAACTTACCTTGCTTTGCCCAATGAATTTAGCACGTCCTTTGGGTTTTTTTCGCACCTTGTATTCATCCCTTTCTATTACTTTGGCCACAGTCTGAATACTTGCAGATGGATTGTTGTGATCATACACAACTGGCAAGTCCGCTGGTAAAGAAAAGATGCAAGATGAAAATTAGTATTTACATCACAACTTACACTCCACTGTGTTAGTAAAAACAAAACAAAACAAAAAAAATAGTACATTTATATACAGGATTGCTTTTTCACATTTAAAGATACAAGAAATAGCAAGAAATGTCACACAAGAACAAACCTTAATCGTAGACAATCTTACATCTACCATGAGAACCTACAGTTATTCAAGAATACATTTAATGGACATTACCTTTTTGCCTACACACCCAATTATCAAATTAAGAGAATCTTTCATTGTGTTGCTCTTATGTAATCCAAGGCAGGTTACTGGAGTAAGGTATAACTAGAGTGCATGTCTAGTACAAAAATAAAAGCAACTTTTTTTTTTTTCAACAAACCGGCTGTATCCCACCAAAGCAGGGTGGCCGAAAAAGAAAAACAAGTTTCTCTTTTTAACTTTAGTAATGTATACAGGAGAAGGGGTTACCAGCCCTTTGCTCCTTAAAAGCAACATGTCCTTTAATAAATAGGAAATCAATCAAAACATGCAGACAGACAGCAGGACCCAGAAATCCTCTGAGATGGTAGCTTCATGCATGATAGAATTTAAAAGTCATAATAGCCTGCATTAATCACCCTTTCAAGATAGCAATATACTCAACCCCAGCAAAGAGCTAGGTACAACTAGGGGTTCATGTCCACAGCAAACGTGTAGTTGGAGGGTGGGAAAAAAAATACAGACGAAATTCATGATAGGGAAGAGAAGAGCAAGCAACTAATAACAGGGTCTGAAGGCATTTATTTAAAGTACATGATAATATAATGGAATAACAGCTGGCATGTGTAAGGGTCAAGTAGATTTTGGGATTTTTCTTTCTTTCAATACATCAGACATTTTCCACCAAGACAGGGTGACTGTGGCATGCAAAGAGTACGTAACCTTCATTTGGCGCACGTACACACCCTCACTGAACGATTATCTCCCCCAACCAGCGAACCAGGTACTAAGGGTTGATGATGGGACCCCGTCATTTAATCAATACCCAGGCTCCAGCCAATGAGAAGATGGTTTTGGCAATCGCAAAGGTGTTGTGGGTACCACTCACCTGTCTGCTCTTGTCATTCCCATTCTAGAGCTGGTTGAAGCACGGTCTGCTCTCAAGTGGCTTCTATTCTGCCTTGCTTACCGTGGAGTGCACTAACACCTATTGTTGTACATAGTGTATATAGTGTACATACTTCTGTTCTAAATTGAAGGATAATACAAATCAAAAGTTTTTCTGCTGTGTTTATTTTGCTTCCTTTACACCCAAGATAACAGGCCTTTGGGATTCCTTTGGGATCATGATTATTAAAATTTAAAAATAATAAAGGGTGAACATATACATGTACATGAGTTTTATCAGGATGATCATCAGAAGTGAAATTAACTGCCTCGGTGCGAGACGGCCGACTTGTTGAAAAAAAAAAAAATAGTATGTAACCATAAAAGAATAAAGACTACATATAATACTGACTGGAATGAAGGGTTGCTTTTCAAGGCAGTATTTCGAGGAACAAGAGGCTAAGAGCTTGAAGACACTTAGCCCTTCCTCTACAAATCAATTTGGGCTTTTTACCAAATAATAAACTATGATAGTGAGATCCCTTGACAATGTCCAGGAAATTTTCCACAGACTTGTACATTAAGAAAATAAGAGTATTATTTAATTTGTAACTCACCTGAGCGCATTATCTTGTACTGCTGATCAGGTGTAAATTCCACCTCGCATCCCACAACTGGCAGAGGTGTTCCAGCATTCCCACAGTCTTGTGCCATCTAAAGAAAATATTTTCAGTTAGAGTTGGCCTCAAAATTGTATTTACATTTATTTCATTCACCACTAGGAACAAACAAATTTTCATTTGAAATATTATCTATATGGCTTGTATCATTGTATAATTTTTTTTTTAATATGGAACATTCCCCAAAGGCAGGGAGACTTAAAAATTAAAACACCTTAACCATCACTTACCAGCCATTATTAAAATCATATAATTAGTAATAGTATGAGTGATATTTGCAGAGCACTTTGACCATGTCTGACACCCAGAATATTTATTTAATTTTTTATTATTAATACATCAGCCACTTCCCACCCAGGTAGGGTGGCCCAAAAAAAGAAACTTTCATCATCATTCATTCCATCACTGTTTTGCCAGAGATGCACTTACACTACAGTTTTAAAAGCTGCAACACTAACACCCCTCCTTCAGAGTGCAGACACTGTACAACCAATCTCCAAGACTGAAGGCCGGCCTGCTGGTTTCCCTGAATCCCTTCATATTACCCTGCTCACACTGCAGCAGCACGTCAAGTCCTAAAAATCATCTATCTCCATTCGCTCCTATCTAACATGCTCACGCATGCTTGCTGGAAGTCCAAGCCCCTCGCACACAAAAACCTCTTTTACCCCCTCCCTCCAACTTTTCCTAAGCCAACCTCTATCCCAGCACATGTACTAATAAAAAAATAGTGACACACACACACAAAGATAAATTAATACACCACAAAATAAACCACACAAACCCTACTAATATCATACCAAAGTTAAAATAACCAATCTTAATCCAAAACTCCATTAAATTATTAATATCAAAAGACTGCCTTAACCCTTTCTGAACCCTTAATCTGAAACTTGTTCTCAGGGTATTAAAAAAAAATTCATAAAATGAAGTATATTTTTCCAAATGTAATGACACCAAAAGTACAAAATTTGACAGAAAACTTATGGAATTATGCTTTTGCAAAGTTACCAGTCTCAGCAATATTTACCTACTGGCAATTTCATCCAGTCTTAGCTCTATTTTAGGCCAATTTCATTGTTCCAGTCAACTAAACTCTTAGCTATTTTATTAGCATGCTTTCTATTCTAACAACTGAGCACCAGAAACTGCCCATTTAACTATTTCAACTATCCAATAAAGTGATCAATTTCACGCACAAAAAATGCAAATTTAAAAATAAGGTCCAGAATAAACAATGTAGACATTCCTGGCACTAAAACAACATTTCCTCTGTTTATTAGTTACATCCCCAGGCCTCTCCTACATTACACTTGCTTTCGTTTTGAATTTTTGTTCAAACAAAAAATAGAAGCTTTACAGTTATGCAGACTACCGCATTACTGTACATCTTCCATTCTATCAAATGAAACCAAGAAACTGAGGATAAAATCATAAAAACCATCCGAAAATACACCATAAATTTGCTACTGTAAACCACATACGTGGTCACTGTTCTGTTTTCCCCACACTGTGTGGGGCAAGTCTTCTTTTAATATAGTACACACTCACTGCATAGACCCATTCTATCATAGACAAGCCAAAATCTACTGCTCACATGATGGTTGGATTGCTGGTGTCTTTTTTTTCTGTCTCATAGGTATATCTTGCTACCTCTATTTACACTTAGGTCACACTACACATGCACATACACAGACCCCATCTGGGTTTCCTTCTATTTTCTTACTAGTTCCTGTTCTCTATTTCCTTTGCCCCTGCAGCCCATGCCTTAATCCAGCCCTGAATATACATTAGATCACATTCCCTTAACTTTATAGAAGAGTACACAAGTTATAGATCAACAAATGCAGTATGTACTGTTTGTTATTTAAAGTATAATACAATGGACCCTCAGTTATCGTAATTAATCTATTCCAGAGTGTGTGACTAAAGCCAAATTTGATGATTTCCGAATTCATTTTCCCAATGAGAAATAAGTAAATCCAATTAATTTGTTCCAGACACCCAAAAGTATTAGGAAAAAATAACTCTTTACATGAAATATACATTTACCTACACAGAAAACAATGAGACATGAAGAATAAAAGAATAACAACATGGCACTTACCTTTATTGAAGTCTCTTCTTAGTGTATTGAAGACAGGAGGAGGGGAGGGAATAGAGAAATTACTGTTTGGAAGGGGAATCCCCTTCCATAAAAACTTCAGCTACCAAGTCCTTTTCCGGGGTTACTTCCCTTCTCTGTTTTTTAATGCCACTAAACCAGCTCGAGTCACTGGACCCGTCGCTCAAAAAAGTGTTCCAGAGAGGTCTGTTTCTGGCATATGTTAGGAACTGTGGGGGCAGTAGGGAAGTGTGTTGGGAGACAGGACAAGATAGTCCTTCAATATGACACTTATATCAACTCTACGGCTTATTCATCTAATATGACATAATAAACAATATTAACAACATAGAAACATGATATATAATCTAGAATGAATAAAATATGTCATTACGTACGTGATAAGTGTTGTTGTGTTGTTTGTTGTTGGGTGTATAAGGGCCACAGAAAGATAAGCCTTACATAGTGGTGGTGATGGCGGCAGCAAAGGCAGCGGTGTTAGTCAGTAGCACTATATACCTCCAACAACATTGGAGGAGTCGGTTTTGTGCTGTCCTTTATCTATCGATTAATCGCTTAACTTACTTGCTACACTGTTAATACTACACTTTATCACTTGCTGGCACTATAGCCTTTGTCTACTCCTGCTGCTTTAGTATAGTACACATCACAGAATCACTGAAGAAGGCACATCCTCCCCTCTCTCTCTCAGCCCTTTACCAAAGGACTGGCTGGCACTAGGAACTTTCTTTGGACCCACGGCGGCTTATTTAGCAGCTGCAAGCACTAAAATGAATGGAATAATACGAAATGTATCGTATGAACGCGTGGGATCGCACTCACTGGCTGATAAACAATGGTACACTGAGTGTCAGGCCGCTGTTGCCGTGCAGACACTTTCTGGACAAATGACTATTATCAAGCTCAATGATAATTGCCGAGCCAATATTTTGACGAAAAATTGTCACGATTTCCAAATATTACGAAATCCAAATACTACGATATCTGGGGGTCCACTGTAGTCATGTTTACTTACCATCTCTCCACATAATTCCTGGTTCATATGCTGATGAAGAAGAGTTGAAAGATCCTCGGGAGGGCTTTCCTTGATGTAAACACCACCAACAGACCCGTTAATGTAGCTGCCTGAACTCCATGACACCTAGAAAATTTATTATATATTACTGTGATTAAAAAAAAAAAAGGTATGTATGTCAGCATAGTTGCTGATCCCTCTGTTGTATAGCATATCAGTATCATCCATGTGCTTTAGATAGGAGATCCCTTTTAGGCCTGTGACTGTTTGTGTGACGTCACGGGATGCGCATGTGTACATTCGTACCTCTGCCTCCTTCTCAGTCGGCGTTAGACATCCAGGCTAGAACACGGCAAGGATGGGCTCCATCTCCTATCATCACAGTTTGACAATATATCGTTACCATCCAACAAGTGTGTCTACCTTCAACCCTCGATATCTCCATTTAAGAACCCCTACGATACATAATGTAATACTCATTAAGTGCACGCTCATACATTACATAGTCACTGTGCTAGTACCTCAGTAGTCTAGTGTAGAACTCATTGTGTTAGCACCTCATTAGTCCAATACAGTAGTCAAAGAGCTAGCACGTCAGTAGTCCAATATAGTAGTCACTGAGCTAGTACCTCAGTTGTTCAGAATAGCAGTGACTGCTATTCTAGACACACAATAGCACAGTATAACTGAATTATGAAATGTATCACTCAGAATGAAGAAGGAAGGGAAGGAGGGGGGGTTGACATAGTTAGGTCATTCAGAAGGCTAGAGTAAGACGAGCTGATCAAGAAGGTTTACATACGTAGTGGATGGAATGCGTAGGGAACTTCTCAGGAAAGGCTGGAAGAAGAGCATTAAGGGGTTTCTAGAGTGGTAGAGGAACGAAAATCCAGGAATTATCTTGGCATGGTAGATCAGAGGGAATGGAGAAGAGGGATTTGCCATATTATAGGAATGTAAGCAAATTAATATCTATGAAGGGATTCAGGAAAACTGGTTAGCCGAACTAGTTCTCAGGTGGGAAGTAAAGTATGAAGCCAGTATTCTCAAGGATGGGTATGTATGTATGTGGTGGTTTTGTGGATCACTTGAGCTGTGATGTCAGTGGACTTTCGAAAACACTTCAAGGGCATAAGCGATGGTGAACACTTTCTTCTTTGGGTCCTTACCTTGATAAATGCTAGCCATTGTTTTTATCAACTTTTATGTAATGTTATATTAGATAGAATCAGTTGTTTTTCTACAGATAAGAATCATAAATACCTACTGAAAAGTAAAGTAAATTAATGATACTGAAGGGAAGAAAATTGTATGCTGAAGCACTAAAAGATTTTTTTTTTTTTAACAAGTCGGCCATCTCCAACCAAGGCAGGGTGACCCAAAAAAGAAAGAAAATCCCCAAAAAGAAAACACTTTCACCACACTCACACATTATCACTGTTTTTGCAGAGGTGCTCAGAATACAACAGTTTAGAAGCATACACATATAAAGATACACAACATATCCCTCCAAACTGCCAATATCCCAAACCCCTCCTTTAAAGTGCAGGCATTGTACTTCCCATTTCCAGGATTCAAGTCCAACTCTATGAAAATAACCGGTTTCCCTGAATCCCTTCACTAAATATTACCCTGCTCACACTCCAACAGATCGTCAGGTCCCAAGTACCATTCGTCTCCATTCACTCCTATCTAACACGCTGACGCACGCTTGCTGGAAGTCCAAGCCCCTCGCCCACAAAACCTCCTTTACCCCCTCTCTCCAACCCTTTCGAGGACGACCCCTACCCATCCTTCCTTCCCCTATAGATTTATATGCTTTCCATGTCATCCTACTTTGATCCATTCTCTCTAAATGACCAAACCACCTCAACAACCCCTCTTCTGCCCTCTGACTAATACTTTTATTAACTCCACACCTTTTCCTAATTTCCACACTCCGAATTTTCTGCATAATATTTACACCACACATTGCCCTTAAACAGGACATCTCCACTGCCTCCAACCGTCTCCTTGCTGCTGCATTTATCACCCAAGCTTCACACCCATATAAGAGTGTTGGTACTACTATACTTTCATACATTCCCTTCTTTGCCTCCATAGATAACGTTTTTTGACTCCACATATACCTCAACGCACCACTCACCTTTTTTCCCTCATCAATTCTATGATTAACCTCATCCTTCACAAATCTATCCGCCGACACGTCAACTCCCAAGTATCTGAAAACATTCACTTCTTCCACACTCCTCCTCCCCAATTTGATATCCAATTTTTCTTTATCTAAATCATTTGATACCCTCATCACCTTACTCTTTTCTATGTTCACTTTCAACTTTCTACCTTTACACACATTCCCAAACTCATCCACTAACCTTTGCAATTTTTCTTTAGAATCTCCCATAAGCACAGTATCATCAGCAAAAAGTAACTGTGAATTCCCATTTTGAATTTGATTCCCCAAAATTTAATCCCACCCCTCTCCTGAACACCCTAGCATTTACTTCCTTTACAACCCCAACTATAAATATACTAAACAACCATCCCTGTCTAAGACCTACTTTTACCGGGAAGTAGTCTCCCTCTCTTCTACACACCCTAACCTGAGCCTCACTATCCTCATAAAAACTCTTTACAGCATTTAATAACTTATCACCTATTCCATATACTTGCAACATCTGCCACATTGCTCCTCTATCCACTCTATCATATGCCTTTTCTAAATCCATAAATGCAATAAAAAACTTCCCTACCTTTATCTAAATACTGTTCACATATATGCTTCAATGTAAACACTTGATCTACACATCCCCTACCCACTCTGAAACCTCCTTGCTCATCCGCAATCCTACATTCTGTCTTACCTCTAAGTCTTTCAATTATAACCCTACCGTACACTTTTCCTGGTATACTCAGTAAACTTATTCCTCTATAATTTTTACAGTCTCTTTTGTCCCCTTTCCCTTTCTATAAAGGGACTATACATGCTCTCCGCCACTTTAAATATTTGGGATGTGCAACTGACCAAGATGAACTAGTAAAAATAAAGAAGGGTTTGGAAGGAAAGTGACTTGCAATGAAGCCCCTTACCCCTTTTCCCTGTTAGGAAGAAAATAAGAGATACAACTTTCTGGGTGCATGCAACTGTGAAATTTTGGAGTTTCAGTGAAAGTTTATGTATAATACCCCCTATAGTTATGAAGTACAGTATGCCTTAAAATTTATTTTGCTTATGAAAATGCTAGCGATTAAAAAAACATATCTTGATACTACAGAAATGCCATATGAACACATTTCATATATGCTAGTGAAAGTGTGCAAGGAAGACTTCATTGCTAAACTTATCACAATTTGCATAATTAACTTGGATTACAAGATCTCAGTACATGTTTAGAGCAACCTGAAAAAAATATTTTATAGAAATTATAACATACCTGACAAGGTTCCTGACCAGTGAACCCTTGAGGATCATCATTAGAACACACTTCTCCCTTATCCTGTACAATCCCCTCACATTTGCTAGATGGTGCAGCTTTCAGGTATCCGTGATCATGCGAAACTACTTGTTGAATTGGTTGACTTGCAGCTTCCACACTGTCATCCTAAAAAATATATATATATAAAATATAGTAAATATATTTTATAAACAAAATCTTGGATACCATAAAGAAAAGAACAAGGCAATCCGAGGGTTAAAATCTATATACCTGTCCCCAGTGTCTGAGATGATAAAAGTGGCAAAAAGGGCTCAACTGTTTATGAGTAGGTATACTCATTTAAGTGTAGCATAGTAAAATATGTGCATGCAGATAATGTGGCAAAACATAGATAATCAACCAGGGATTCTACAAGATGTTTATAGCATGTGACAAGTTTGGGAACAACCTAGTGATGACCCACATCTTTGTCAAGTTATAGAACATACTATAGTATTAACTACATACCTCTTCATCTACTACACAGCACTATAGATATAATATCCTCTGAGTGGTTGTGACAAAGACACACTAAGTATATATCCAAATACCTTTAGCTTAAGAAAAACTATAGTTTTTCCTTTTAGGTCACCCTGCCTCGGTGGGATATAGCTGGTTCATTGGAACAAACATTTAGCTTTTGCTGCATGACCTCTAAGTGTTAATAGTATATCTAAATCTTGAAACATCCTCATCACAACTCATGTATGTTACAGTACAGTTTTAAATAACCAGTTCAGGGTTACACTCACAGCCAAACACTGCAAACTAAATTTTTGGTGTATACATTTCTGTGGTTTTTGAAGCAGGTGGACTCTAAGCTAAAGCCCCCAGCCTAATCAAAGTGAATTTTCATTTTTCCAGTTATTTTCCCATGGCACTGATATGTTCTGAGTACATGCGAAATAAATTTTGCAATTTTTTTATACACTAGCCATAAAAGAAGAGTTTCTTTTAAGTCTGAGGAGGTTGCAAATAAGCAGAATGAATTAAGTAAGAATTTCAGTTGTAATACCACACACACACAATTTAGTGTAGATACTGTATAACCAGAGTAGAACCTTGCTCCCCACAAGCACAACCTTTCTCCCCACAAGCACGACTAAGCAAGTATGCAAACAAACAACTGGTAATAAAAAATGAGACAAACCTTTACATCAACTTTCATATCAGAGTTGTTGTTATTGTCATTGATGTCATTGCTGGGAAGCACTTCAGATTCCAGACTCTTGACCTTTTTGGCACGAACTTTCCCTGCCCTTTCTAGTTTTCTCTTGGCCTGCTTCGGGTTAGTTACTGAAATATCATGAATTGTTCTTGCATCTGCTATTTCCACACCACTGGTTCTTAGAGGAGATGGTCCATTTTTCTTGTCTATTATTCCTATCCCATCTTTCTTTCTAAAATATTCAGTTTCTTTTTCCATTGTAATAGTGGATGCTTTTTTGCCTTTACTGGAAATGTCTCCAATACGAATCTGTGTTTTTGGTGATCCTACAGATTTGCAGCCCCGACTACTACTTGACGAGTTGCGTCTCCGTGAGCCTGAACCTTCTTGTTGCGCCAGTCTTCTGTTTCTTGCTGGAATGGATTCGAGTACATATGTTTGGCGACTCTGTGTACCTAAATGATGCAAGAGAATTAAACCGAAATGCAAAGTATCAAATATAAAAACATTTACAATATTTTATTAAATGTTATGCACGATAAGCAAACAAATAATTTTTTTTGGCAAGAATAATACATAATAAATCAGTGTTTAAATAAAACTTTTTTTTTTAACTTTAAATATACAAAATTACATCCTGTACATTTCTTTTTCCGATTTCTTTAGATAATTTTCTCTGACAATGAAACGTTCAATACTCAAATAAACTAAGCAAACTAATAAGTAAAATACAGTACAAAACTTCCTAATACTGTTGGTGACTAGTTTAACCCTTTCACTGTTTCCCACGTAGATCTAAATAATTGATGCCAGTGTCACTTATGTAGATCTTTGGATTCTCTATTGTTTTCCCAATCCTTTGCCTGGGCAGTTGCCTTGACACTTTGCGGATTCACATTAATATACATGTTTTGAGCTCAGCTCCCTCAAATGAGCCGAGTCGTAAATTTTGACCTAGACATGAGAGAATGGGGGTGTGGGGCAAGTGTGGAGTTCAAAAAAAATCTTGTCCCATACAGTGACTGATGGGAAAAGCAAACCCCTGACTTTGGTTTAAAATAGCAACTTTGAGAAATTTTTCTATGGGGCTTTTTATGGTTTCATTAGCCCTTTCTTGGTATCGACTGAAAGAACAGAAGACATACTAGTGAAGTAGAGATGATTTTGGTTGGTTTCAGAATGGAAATAGCTTGAGGATGAGTAGGGTCTACCTTGCCCCTGCTCGTTTGTCTTAAGGGTTTTTACTTGGTCTGCTCTAATTATTGGGATGCACTAAACCATGACCAATCATTCCTGATATTTTATTATATGAGAAATGTGTGATGATGGATTCAAAACAGAGGGCAAATGTTACATAGGAGAGGCCTGGGGACATGATTAATGAAAAAGGAAAGGATGATTTAGTGGATGGAATGTTACAGTGCTTATTCTGGACATGTTCTTAAACTAATTTTTTTGTGTGTAAAATTGGCCAAATTACCAATATCTGTGCACATTACAGGGTAGTTCTGTTTCTTGTGCTTAATTGAGAGAGCAGAAGGCATAATTGAAAAATCAGCTCGAACTGAGCATTAGAATTGGGTTAATAAAGGACTCAACGTCAATGAAATTGCCGATGCATAAATTGTGCCCAAACTGCCAACTCTGGGCTTGTGCATTCCATAAGTTTTACATCAAATTTCATTTTTTTTTTTTTGGGTGTCATTACCTTCAGTAAAAAATTTTCTAACATTTCACGACAGTGAAAGGGTTAACAGTGACAGAAAAAAAAGGCATTCAGAAAAAAAAGGCTGAATTAATCTAGTAAATGCTAACAAACCAAATTTAAATGACTAAGTATCAGACAGCAGCCAATATGCAAACAGGCAAACAATGCAAATAGCTCAACAAGTGATTTAAAAGCATCTGAACCAAACAGGGGCCAATGCAGAAGTGAAATGTAGATAAGAAACCAAAACAATTGGCAAACGTTAAAAGAAGCTGTGAAGAAGTAACGAGACTCCTGACGAATGGGACACAAAAAGCAATGGGATCTGAAAAAAAAAAAATGTTGCCTTGGATACTGAAAGATAAGAAGTGAAGCCCTAAGCAAGCCACTTACCCAAATCTTAACAAAAACTTGACAAAAGGAGAGCTATCAGGCACACTGAAGATGGGTTGCATAATTCCAAGATACTATTCAAGAAATGCAAGAGGTAATAAACTACAGACCAGTATCCATGACAAATACTTCATGCACACCTGAAGAAACTAACAGTTCACAGATCAGCATAGGTTTAGGTATGGAAAGTCCTGTCTCACAAACCTAATAGGGGCCTACAGCAGACTGACGGAGATTGAGTTAAGAAAGTGAACGGTGGGCGGACTGCACATTCCTAGACAGTAAGAAGCCTTTCAATATTGTACAGTACCACATAGAAGACTGATACACAAACTGGAGATGCAGGATGTGGTGACAGGCAGTGTGCTACCATGGATTAAGGAATACCTGAAAGACAAGACAGTTACAGTGATAGAATAATCAGTATGAATAAATGTAACCAGCAATGTCACAAAAAAGGGTCACTTATGGATTCCACAATTTTTCATGGAATATGCCAATGATCTACAAAAGGGGGACCAACTTTTTTAATGTCAAATGTTTGCAGAAGTTACAAAACTAATGAGAAAAATATAAAGAAAAGACCAATATGGGAAGCCCTATATACACTTCATTAAGAATTAAAAAATTAGCTTTAAAATTTAAAGCCATCAATTGTGAAGTAATAAGAATGTGTACAGGGAAAGAGAGACCTTTGTCACTACACCACACTGGTGGGGACACTACACTGAGTTAAGTAAAAGACCCAGTAGTATGTTATGCCTAACATGGATGTATAGGCATAATGCTGACAGGTGTAGGTATAAAGACATAATGCTTATGGTAATAAGGCCACCCTAAGCAAAATGTAGTCCCAGTGAAAGTTTATTTTGCATACTGTGCCTTTATGCACATTCCTTTACGTATCCCAAATCACACAAACAGGATAACATCAGTATATGCATAGCATATAAATGTAAAAATGGCCTTTCAGAAGCCTAAACAAGAATCTCCTACATTAACATTCACTATATGTATATACAAGACTAATCATTGATTTTGCAATATCAATGTGGATGTCACATCTGGCCAAGTATATAAAGCTATATAAGGTTCAAATGTTCTCAGCCAAAATGGTCCCAGAGATGAAACGCACAAGCCATGTGGAAAGACTCCATGAACTATCACATGATTGGAGAAACAGTGAAGACATGATCAAAACATACAATATACACAAGGGCATGACTGGATGATTATAGACACGACATTATCACAACATATATACACTGGGGGAAGGGGATAAGCCGTGTAATTTGGGACTGATCTGATCAGGACAAGGGTAAATGGATAAGATGAACACTTAAAATAGCTACAGGAGCAAAAGCTTTTTACAGAGCAGTATAAGGGTAGTAAAGATGTGGAATAAGACAGAGGGCAATATACTATACTGTAGGCTGACCTTAATACACAGATTCAAAAGTAAATATGACAGCTAGAACATGTTAGGTGATCAAAAGGTAAGAAATGAGCTCTGGAACTGTAACTCTAGCACTATTTCACAAACACACACAAACTATGCAGTTACAGACCAGTGATTTTGTAATGCATAATGCCAAAGGAATTTCCAAGTACTTTTATTGATACAGTAGGGCCCCACTTTATGGTGTTTCGCCTTACAGCAATCTGCTAATACCGAGGTTTCAAATTATGACCAAAACTTGCTATACGGTGAGCGGTCTTTCAAATACAGCGCGCCTCACACGGTTCATTTACATTCTCCGTGAGCACATCTCTATTATGTCTGGAAACTATCCAAAATTTCAAGTACTACAGTGGAACCTCGGCTTACGAATTTAATCCGTTCCGTGACCTTATTCGTATCCTGAGTTGTTTGTATGCCGAGTCAATTTTCCTCATTTAAATTAATTGAAATGCAATTAATTCATTCCAGCCTCTCAGGAGGCATGACAAAATAATGCTAATATCAACTCTACTGCTTAGTTATCTATCACAATTATTCTAATATGACATAATAAACAATATTCATAACACAGAAACATGATATATACTCTAGAATGAATAAAATAGGCCATAATAGGGTAAGTGATGGAGACACCGGCAGCAGCAGAAAGCATCCGCCATTTACTCTCCCACTCTAGTATCTTCCCAGTTCATAACCCCACACCTAGCTTGCATTTATCTATGAATAGTGGTGAGGTTGTCATATATGTAACCACAGGTGTGGTCAAGACAGATGTATATATAGGTGAAGACATGATCACTGTGGCCACAGTGGTGGTGGTGGCGGCGGCCGGTGGTGGTGGTGGTGGCGGCGGCCAGTGGTGGTGGTGGTGGCGGTGGCCACAGTGGTGGTGGTGGCGGCGGCGGCCAGCTGCATCACTATGATGCTACCTTCTTCGTTTTCTAGCTTTTTTCATTGTTTCTAATCGCTTCTTCCTGATTGTATGCAAATACTGTCTCTTTGGGCGAGGCATTGTGTAAGAAATTTGTACAATACAAGATAAAATTATGCATCCCAAGGGTCTGCTGCAATCACTCAGAGCATCATACCTCCTTATCCTTCTGACTCTTGGTGTTCACTGAGATAGCTGTGGTCGTAGCAGCTGTACCTTCAGCCACCCAGAAGGTTACCAATTTCTATTTTGAAGCATTTGGCACAAAAATGTGAAAAAAAAAGTCTAAAAATGACAACATATTATTATTACTATTATATTGTATTATTATTATTATTATACCTAGTACATACGTATTATTATTACATTTTTTTTTTTTTTTTTTTCAACAAGTCGGCCGTCTCCCACCGAGGCAGGGTGACCCAAAAAAGAAAGAAAATCCCCAAAAAGAAAATACTTTCATCATCATTCAACACTTTCACCACACTCGCACATTATCACTGTTTTTGCAGAGGTGCTCAGAATACAACAGTCTAGAAGCATACACAAATAAAGATACACAACATATCCCTCCAAACTGCCAATATCCCAAACCCCTCCTTTAAAGTGCAGGCATTGTACTTCCCATTTCCAGGACTCAAGTCCGACTATATGAAAATAACCGGTTTCCCTGAATCCCTTCACTAAATATTACCCTGCTCACACTCCAACAGATCGTCAGGTCCCAAGTACCATTCGTCTCCATTCACTCCTATCTAACACGCTCACACGCACGCTTGCTGGGAAATCCAAGCCCCTTACCCACAAAACCTCCTTTACCCCCCTCTCCAACCCTTTCGAGGACGACCCCTACCCCGCCTTCCTTCCCCTATAGATTTATATGCTTTCCATGTCATTCTACTTTGATCCATTCTCTCTAAATGACCAAACCACCTCAACAACCCCTCCTCTGCCCTCTGAC